TTTCTATTACAATTACTCACATTTATGTTAAGTGTTGATATGTAACGAAATCACAAACCACCCAAGAAACTTGTTAAAAAGAGGCCATTCGATACTTCTCAACAAGTATTCGATTGTAATTCACGGGAAAACACACAAGCTGCAAGTCATCTCTCTTGATGAATAGCGAACTAATCTTTGCCCGAGATTTCTCTGCCTTTATGTCGAAATAATTTTTTCGACATCACAGAACCAAAATTTTATTTTCTTGATTCTTATCTTTTTCTTTGACACACTGCACTCACAAAATCCTTGAGGTTCTGAGTATTACCAACTCAGGCTGATGATTTCGACAGTCTGGCACATGATTTCGTTTTCAAACCCTAAAACGAAAGAGCCCAACCTCTATTCTGAAGGTTTTATCCTTATCCACACGTACTCACGAAGATACTTTTGATGTGACGGTTTGGTTACTGTGCTTATTTCTCGGAGATCGTGTCCTATACTTTTTCTGACATTGAGTATATGATGGTTGTTGGTGCAACTTTCAAGGGCCACGTGTCAAGATCATTAATGATAACCGTTTGAAATTCAAAAGGGGTACATATATAAAGTGCAATTGGATCATCATTCCAAGCTTACGCGTACTACAAAATCTCCAAACGATCTGTGCTCTATTTCTCTCTTGATTCTTCATCATTCTCAAAGCAAACCCTATTCATGGCCGCTCTTCAATCAAACACAACTGACGATGCATCTTCTCAATAACCCATCATGAAGATTGAAAGTAACAATTATCAAGTGGATGGTGATGTTACTGTGTATCCTGAAGAATTCTAATGCTAATTGTGGCTTTACAACATTCTGTTTTATCGACTGCAATATTCAGTGCATTTGCAGTACCTATGTCCTGGTTATCAACAGCCGGTTCTACTGCATCCTACAACAAGACGATGGATAATGTAACTTTCAATTTAATCAATGAGAAGAAGTTTCGTCTTACCAAGAAGTTATTTGTCAAAATTCTTCAAATCCCTAATTCTCCACCTTTCTACCAAGTCAATAATGAGCAGGTGTTACACATGTTTAATGAGATGGGTTATCAACCTACTCTCTTAAAGATCAGTGAATTCAAGAAGTCTGGTCTTCCAAGTTTGTGGAATTTTCTTTTTGGGATTTACCTTCGATGCCTTACAGGTCGAAAAGTTCGTTTAGATAAAGGGCGTATGGAGGTGTATGCTATGGTTGCAGGTATTTACTATGATATACCAGTTGACTATGCCACTCAGATGTGGATAGAATTCTTGAAGAGCATTGACAATACGAATGTGGTCGATGGGATTTCATGTGCAAGGTATTGGAGTCTAATTCTCCAATTTACCTATGAAAATGAAAGTATTTTGGTGCCTGCTGATGAACCTAAAGCTGATTTCTTGAAGTATCATTATCCCAAGACGATTGAATATGATATGAATATTTTTCCAACAGTTGCTAGGATTCCTGATGGGCTGCTCAAGAAGGTTGATCCTTCGAATCCTGTGTTGGAGGTTTATTTACTTACAATCAACACAAATGATGGAATTGGTATTTTGTTGCCAAAACGTAATGAAGGCTCTTCGAAGAAATCTCGGAAGTCAAAGACTGTTGATGTCTCAACTCCTGAGAAAAATGATAAAGAAACAATTGTTTCTAAGTCACCAAAGAAACAGCCTGCAGAGGTAGTGAAAGTTTCGAAGAAATCAGAAAAATCTCAGGAGACTGCACAACCCGATTCTACCAACAGCTTATTCCCACAAAGTCTGGTGTGTTAAAGCGTCTCAAAAAGATGTCTCATAGATCCAGAAACTCTCCTGAGAGGTTATCTAGTTTCTCACCATCAATGGTTCGTAAGCCTCATGTCACTCGAAAAGGCATTATTTTTCGTGAAGTTCCTATGCCAGTGTCACCATCATCGAAGAAGCACAGGGCTGAGGATGTTGCAAAACATATTTCCAACAAGAATAAGAAGCCAAAGAAGCGAAAGTTAATCCTTCAGGAAGATGAAGAAGAAGAAATTGTTCCTGATACTCCAATAGGTAATCTTTCTCCTCAACAGAAATCGCCTGCCAAGTCAGCTTTCGAAATGACAGGAATTTTAAGTAGCTCTGTGGAAACTTCGATAGTGGACACATCTACTATTTTTGGTGAATCAACACAAGTATCTACTCCTATGCAGACTTCGGTCATACCACCGAGGTTTCGTTCACTGAGTCATTTTATGAGGAGTTTCGAACCTCAGGCATTTCCACACATGTATTTGATACGGATGTGAATGTCAACATGGGTGAAGGATTTTCGAACAATGAACATCCAATTGTTACTCAAGGTATTCTTGAACCTTCCATTACTCAAACCAATACTTCGTTACCACCAATTATCACCACTATTTCCACAACCACTCATTCTCCTACTTTTGATATGGTCATCAATCATCCCATTACTTCTCTCTTTTCATCCCAATCTACTGACCCACCTAAACCTCTTAATGATGATGATACTGATGATGGAGGGTTTGAAGGATCATTTGCTGATTTGGAATTTGATCCAGAAGAAGAAGATATCCCAGATCATATGCTGATGTCCGGGATGCAGTTCAAGATTCTAAACAAAAAGCTCAATTCAATACTTCAATCCCAAGCAGATGCATGGGGTAAGAATTCTGATTCAAGTATTGAAGTTGATGTGATGCTTAAAGTTCAGGAGGTTCGGTTATTCAAGAAAGTGGAAAAGTTGGTAAATGCTTCTTAATCTCGTATTTTCGAAAAGCTTGATTCCATGGATCAAAATACTGAATTAAGAGTCAAATCTGCATCTTTGAATTTTAATGATGCGCTCAAGGATTTGAAACGGGTTGCAAAGGAACGTCATGTTCTTTTTGTGCAAGATGTTAAAATGGTTCGTGAGAATGTAAATCACAAGCTTGAAGAACTGAAGGTTGATGTATCCAAAGAGCTTCATGAGTTGGATAACAAATATTGTTCTCTTCTTGAGAAAGTTGATATTATAGCGGATGGTGATACTACGTTTGTTAAAACCCATCAATCTTTTGATCATAAGTTTGATGAGAAAGCAACTTCTGCTGTTACAAGTTTTGGAAAACTTACTACTCTGCTTGAAGAATCGAAGAGAATTGTTTCGAAGTCTGGCTCATCTTGAATCTTTACTCCTGAGTTTGTTGATCAGAAGTTTCGTTACTTCGAGGCTGCAATTCAAAAGATGCTGGCTCCATTGTCTCAACTTGTCACTATTTTACTAACGAATGCCCCACCTGTTATCACAGGGGTGCAAGGGGGAGAAAAGGAAGGTGTTGGTAAAGGAGCAAATGTTTATGAGAAAACGAATGAAGAAACAAAAGTGGTGGAAGTTTTCAAGACTCAAATTCCTACAACAAAACCTATATTTTCGAAGGCAGAACCAGTAATGGCAACTGTTGTTACTACAAGGCCAATTACCAAAGGCATTGTAATTGGGTCAACTGGTGAAGGGGGAAGTAGTTCAAAACCTAAGGAAACTACAACAACTTCAGACAGAGGGAAAACAATTCTTGTTGAAAAGACGAAAAAAGAAAGAAAGGCAGAAATTGAAGTAGAGATGGAGAAGCAGCATCATATTCAGAGAATTTTGATACTTTGTGCTTCTGATCCACTTACAATGAACAAAGGTGATCCAACGAGATTGCACAGTTATGAAAATATTGAAGACAAGGTTGCATGCAACGAAATGTATGAATTCGAGAAAAAGCCAAGGAAGAGTTATGCAATTGAGAATTCTGATATGAATCAGCTTGATTTTCCCATGAATGAGATGATGTTTCTCACTGCTCAATATAAGGTTGTGAATAGATTCAAGGACAAGGATGATTTTTCTCACATGAAGCTGAGGTTCCATACAGTGTTGGGGAAGGAACAAGAAGAGGTTTGGTCATTGGTGAAAATTGTTCAAGTGCTCAGTATAACGAAAGGTGAACTTTTTGAAAATATGCTGCATAATTTTCTGTATCACGTTGTGAGGGAAAATAAAGTATGTTTCGATTTTTCCATTGCTGGTTTCCCTTTGATGAACTTGAATGATTTGATTCAATTTGCATGTATACTCAAGGATTTGGATGCTTCTAAACTCCAAAACACAAGCAAGGATGTGTTACATTTGGGTCTGGGTCATATAAAGCTTTTCATAGACAATTACTATGATTGTCTAGGTATGACAGTCGTTGAGTTGGCTACAACAATCGAAAAAGAAGTTACTGTTCCTCAAACCAAGAAAATGAGTGAAGCTCAGTTGAAGAAGTATGTGGATGGTGAAATATGTTTGAAGCCATTTGATATAGTTTTTGCTGGGAAAAGTAAGAAGGGAAAATCATCAAAGTTCTTTTTCCAAACAAGCGAAATTGAAAGATATACAACTGCTCATTATACAAACTTAATTGTGCGTATGAATAGTTGTAAGAAGAATAACGATGGAGATAAGGCTGAACTAAAGAAGGTGATGAATTGGTATGCTGAAATTCGAAGAACATTACACATGGCTGCTCAAGTTTTGATCAACTGATTTCGACACTGCTTACAAAGGGGGAGATTGTAAGGGTCGAAGTAGTGTTGTAAGGTGTCGAAATGTAATGTTATTTTGCAAAGGCGTTTTATGTTCAAACTATGAAGTTTACTCCTTTGTAATTTTTTGTATGCTTTACTCTTTTCCTATAAATATGGAATGTTACTTAGAGTTAGATAAGAGTTCTGAAAATTGTCTTGTCTATTTTCTCTCTGTAATCGTGAAGCATAATATGAGCTGAAACAAGATCTTATTTACACTCTGTGTTCTCAATTCTCGATACTCTGATTTTGATTTCAATACTTCATCAATAGAGAACCCTTGGAAAAAAGTTATTTGAACCAGCAAACTATGTGCTAAGAAATAAATAATTTTTAGAAATTTCCAAAATTGAGAAGACCAAACGTTTAAAAGGTACTAAAAAGGCAAAGAAAATCTACAAATACTTTGAAAATTAAAGCACAACCATTATTTCACCCTATTATTCATTGATTTTCATTTCTTTATGACTGCAAAACCTAAAATCCTTAGCTTCCGTATTGTCATTAACATCTACATACACCCCTTTCTTTCAGTCCATTACAATCATTTCCATTATCATTCCAACCATTTTCAATTTAGCCCAATCCAAATAAGTGTAAAAAACACTTATAAATTCATACCTTATCTTTAAATATGAGGATCGATGTTCCATGATATAAGCCATTATTCTATTTTTAAGAAAGTTGATTCCATTGTGTAACGCAGTAACGAAGCATAGTACATGACCTCTGTATTTTTTGTTTCACCAAAAATGGAAGAGAGAGTGTTAAGAGGGAGACAGAGAGTAATTCCTTATAATTTGAGATCAAGAGGAGACGAACTGGAGATTAGGATTAGCCACATTTCCTTCCAAGATGGATGATGAACTAGGATGGGTTTGGTGAATTTCCAGGGTGTTTATCAAATCGTCTCGTAAGTTCCAATATCTGTGTTTGTAATTTTTCTCGTGCTTTTCGTTCCATTTCTATTTGTATTTGCAACTCTTGTACCTAAAGAATATTAAAACAATCATACATAACTAGTGAGTAAATAATTTATAAATAGTAAAACAATTATATATATTGACATTTTTATCCATTTTGTAACATACATTATTTTAGCAAATAAAAGGAACATACTTATTAATAAGCATTTGATCAAAAAAACCCAACCGGAACCGGAACCTCTTGGAACTGGGTAAGGGTATTTTGGTCTAGTTATTTGTTCTCCTAATTAATACATCATTTCGGGTTTCGGTTCTTTCGGTTTCGGTCTGGTTCGGGCGGCTGATACAAAAACTTATCACATCCCTAAATAACAAACTTCCAAGTAGAACCAAACCGGAACTGGTTGAAATTGAGAAGGGGTATTCGGTCATGTTATCAGTTCTCCCAATAAAAAATTTACGATTTTCAGTTATTTCGGTTCTGATCCGGTTCAGGCCGGTTCCAGAACCGAGCACATCCAAAACATACTTTACTTTTTTATTACTATAGGGAATGTACATTTTTATCTATAATCGCAACATACTAAACTTTAGCATATTGTTGGTTTTATCTATAATCGTAACATACCTAACTTCTTATTCGTAAGAGCAATATATTTTAATTTTTACCTTAATATCTTATTTTTTTATATACATAATAACATCATACTATAATTTTAACCATGATAACAACTTAACATATTCTTTATACTGAAATGAAATTTCTACTTAGATTTTTTTATCCATAAGCAACATACTTTATTTTTCTAACATTAGCAATATACTTACATTTTGTTTATCTATAATAGCAAGATTCTTTTTAATTTACATCAGCTCCAATGGACCTGCAAATTTGTGTTTTGCAGACCCATATTTCTCCAATGGACCTGCAAATTTGTGTTTTACAGGCCCATATTCCTCCAATGGACATCTATATTTGCAGACATTTTTGTGTAGTGTTATAGTAAGTTACCAATTTTGTGTGAAACTATTCATCATCACTAAACATATATACATATTATAATATTACATATATTTAATTTTATCATTTTTTAATAATAAGATAGCATTACTTTTATAATTATAATATTAAAATATGCTTTTAGTGTGTATAAGGTGTGGTTGGAGTTAAAATTAATTTTTGTCAGATTTTTACACAAAAATTGTGATTTATAGTGTTAAATTGAAGTTGGTATGAGAGTAAAATGCACTTTACCTTTTTATGCATACTAGCAACACACATTATTTTTAATGCATCATAATAGAAACACACTATCTTCTTTCCAACAATATAGATGTACTTACATAGTTACATTTATATCTATAATAGAAAGCTACCTTTTTTTTATAAAAGTAATATACTTACTTTTTTATCCATAAAAGCAACATATATTTCTTCATAAAAACACATTTCGTCTTTGAAAAAAAAAAAAGGGTACCTGCTGCTGCAACTGCGTGTAGTCAAAGGAGGACATGGCACACCCGTAAGATGGTCTCCCTGTCGCTACAAACTTAAGATCTGAGTACCCTATTCCAAAAACATGACTCTTCCTTTTCCCTACCTGACTTTGTTCCCACAATTCGACATTATCCCCTGTATGCTGAATGATGTCCTCCCCATACTTCTCAATGATGGATCTCTCATATGCCTCCTACAATTAACAACATTATTATTATTGTAGTAGATGTTAAGAGAGTAAATATTAAAAAAAGAAAAAAAGATGAGAAATAGTATAACTTACATACTCCTTCCACGATCTAACAGTACACCACTCTAACCCATTTATTGTAAAAAACCATTTGGATACCTGTAGAGCAAACCCAAACTAAAAGTTAACTTTTTCACATACGAACATAAAATAATTCCTGTGAAAACTATATTAAACTATTCAGCGACATGTAGTAGAATCCAAACATATAAGCAAAATAAGTATTATATGGAGATGTTAGTTTAATTAGTTCGTACTACGCCTTTGTTGAGTGACACTGTAGACTCGATGTATTTCCCTATTGGAGGGATTTTGGAATCCATATGTTCACATGTAAACACTATTTCTTTGGTGTTCTTCTTCATATCTAATTGGTAAACATTACGTCCAGCATGAATGAGCAAATTTCCGTTTCTCATCAAGTGCAGTAGCGATTTACTCCATGGAAAAAACGAGATTGGGCCATAAGTTAACACCTTTGTCCAATCTCCATCTCCATCCATCTTCCACAACTCGATCATTTCATTACAATATTCGCTTGTCATATAACTTTCTTCCCCAATGAGAATGGAGACACAGAAGTGGATGCATCCTTTTAGAACCATGAAACCCAAACAGTTGGTCATTTGATTTCCGAAAGAGGGCATTGCTATCTCAGTGAACTTTTCGGTCTTTGTGTCGAATCTCATAACTGAATAAGACCGAATAAAGCTTTCTGGTTCTGTTTCAACTTGTTTTAAGAAATAGAGCTTTTCATTCAATAGAAAATGACTTGGGTGCTCCCAGTAATCTCCAGGTTTAGTCCAGTAATTTCCAGGTTCAGTCCAGTCGGAAGCCCTTTGTTTGAAGTCCTCAGTTGACTCAACATTTCTCCATGAGTCTGATTTTAACGAGTATATATAAATATTGGGATGATGGGTTACATGTAGAAGCCTGTAGTCGTCATCACAAGAGATATAATACAACCCAAATATACCTTGTGTATCGCAACTCATTTTAGACAGACTCTTACTGTCGTCTGTCAAAGGATTCCATAAAGTTAGATCAGAATATATGTCAGGATTTTCGTGCTTGATTGTACCTAGGCATAACAGTCCATGCACAGATGTTAAAATGGATATGTTTCTCATGTACCCCAAATTAATTGGTAAAAGAAATGGAAAACGGCCCGTGGTTAAATCATCATTAGGTGTTTCACAGTCTATGCTATCGAATGTATATCCATCGGTGGTAGGTAAGACGAGTTGTTTGTGGTGATTTTCATGATTATCGATTAATGTGCTGGCAAAAGCACCCGACTTTAGGAACAAATACCATTTCTTGCAAACACACATTAAACTGGGTAGAGCTTCCACCGGCATCCTTGGTAGTATGTGGAATAAAAGTATCTCCTGTGGAAGCTTCCGAGGGGGGGACTCCGCCATGGTCTATTATTGCTTAGTTTTCTTCATGGGATAGGGATATTGCATGTATTGCCATTTAGGTATAGAGAGTACAACTTTTCGTGTGTTAGATAATTCTGATTTCTACTTTTAAAAGCGGAATTAAGATTTGGGAATGTATTTACAAATTAAATTTGTGGTAAATGTGCCCAAATCAAGGGTTTCAGAAAAAGTAAGCACCACTAGAAAATGAAGTTTGAACAGATCAATTTGAAGAGGTTCTAGTTGTTTAGGTTTCAATGATTTTCGGTCAAATTCAGCCTAAAAACCTGTGGAAGAAATTGACCGCTAAAACGTTTAAAGTCAGAGACCAAATGTGGGCCAAATATTGTTAGACAGTTTCAGATCGAGTTTGAGTGCATGTACGATGTAACATTGTTTTTAGACTTTAGTTCTATTTTTTTTTCTTTTAGAACTTTTATTTATGTGTTGCATTTTATATTTACAGTAAGTATGTGTAGTGTAAGTCTAAACTAAGGGACTGCAGAAAAAATGTTTATTAGTAATTAAAATCAAATTAACATTTTCGTGCATAAAAAATCATGAATTAAGAATTTAGCAGTTCTGCACCATCGCACCAAAGGACATACGCACTTCCCTTTTTCATTATCCTGTAGCCAACATCCTCCACTATTGATCTTACAACGCGCTGGTGAACTTGCTACAAAAAACATATACTTAATTACCAAGATGACAATGGAAACTAATTTTTATGTAGAACTTCATATTTTTGACTAAAAAATAATTAAAACAAATAATGAAAGTATTAAACTCTAGTTGATTGTATAGAATAGATTTTAGATATGATGATCTAATCACTTGTAAAAAAAGAAAAATGATGAATTACATAATTCTAATTCTTATCTTTCCGAAAGAAACTGGATAGCAAAATCACAATTGAGAATTCAATCAGCTGCAAGAACAAATTGATCAAATTCATTTTTGCTCAAAGATTTGGGTACAAATATGTTGTGTACATGACATTTGATTGGAAATTTCTGAAACTTCCTTTCTAGCTTGTTTAACTATGGACTATTGTCTCTTCTTTTTCCTGAGAGTTATTATTATCCCTTTGGCAATTTTAAAGAACCAGAACAAATTTATCAGTGCCAATAGTGGTGGGATTGCATGCAAGCTCTGAAACGCTACGTTCTAACTTGTCTAACCTGCAAAACCGATTCCAGTATCAATTGAGGAAGAATTTCCCTAAACTGATGCCGGTTTTTAGGGAGAAAGAAGCTAATCACAACACGATTCTTGTAAAATTAACAAACTTTTGTACACATTCACATAGTTTACCTACAAATACACACATACTATTGAAGTGACAATACCTACTTAGTTATCCTTCGGATATATGCATGTGTTGTGCATGCTTTTGTTAGCTTCAAATTGTCATTTTTATATTTATGCATTATTTGCTTTTTCAGTTTAGCTTTTGACCATTTCCTGTTTAGTGGTAGACACAAGTCAGTGGGTAGTTTTTTTATGTTTTTTGCATTCTGGTTTTCGTGTAAGCCTTTTGGCATCTAGTTTTTCTCATTCTAGTAAATCAAGCAAACACGTGAAGTTTACATTGTGTGTGTTCTCTCCTTAAAGTGTTTATCCATGTTTGTTCCCTGTTGTGTACAAGTTACAAGAACCCATTTCAAGTTAACAAACTGGTATCAAAGCCTAACCCATAGGCGATCTTCAAGTAGCAGGCGACATTAAGAAACTCAGCAAGGGTAACTACAACACCTGTTCAACCTGTATCACGTCGTACATGCAGGTTCAAGATCATTGGGAAGTTGTAAAAGGAATCGAGACAAGCCAACCAGAAGTTGAAGACAACAATGGGGTGTTAAGGAAATGGAAGATCAAGGCATGGAAGGCTATGTTTATTCAGAAAACTACATTGGAAGAGGATATATTATAACTCATTCGGGTTGTGGCAACCCTGAAGGAAGCATGGGATACGCTGTTAACTCTGTTTTCCAAGAAAAATGATACAAAACGGCAACTCCTAGAGAACGAACTGTTGTCGGTGTCTCAATGAGAAATATCGATTCCTCAATATTTTCACAACATTAAAATCGTGTGTCGGAAAATCTTGGAGCTTGATCCTCAAGCCCATATTGGAGAATCTACAATGAAAAAAATTATTATTCATGGTTTAAAACCAGAATTTCAAAGTTTTGTAGCAACCATACAATGATGGCCTACACAACCATCCCTTGTGGAGTTTGAGAACTTACTTGCTGTATCTCTATCAAGATAGAAGAGGAAGCTTTATATGTGGGTAAAAGCAAAGGCAAGTCCAAATCTAACCATGGTAAAAAACGATACGGGGACAGAAACAGAAACCATGAAAATGATAAGAAGAAACATGAGGGAGAAAAAGGGGAATCATTGGGAGAACAGAAAAGCCACCACTCAAATAAGCGGATTCCATTTAAATGTTACAATTGTGGTACTTAAGGGTACATGGCTCGAAACTGTCCCAAATGTTCAACATCAGAAGGTAATGCATCGACTACTCAAAATGACGAAGAGTGGGATGTAGAGGCGTTGTTTGCTTAAGAAGAAACTGTTTTTTAGCTCTAACAGCTAGAACTGAAAAACGAAAGAGTAAACTAGACGATTGGATCGTTGAGTCAGGTTGTTCTAACCATATGACAGGGGATAAAGTGATCATACAAAGTCCAGTCAAGTGTGGAGGCAGTAAGGTAGTTGTAATTACAGATGATTCTAAACTTCCAATTGCTGATGTTGGTGATGGTAAGTTCTGTCCAGAAGATAACAAGAAAGAGTTGTTGTTACAAGGTGTGTACCATGTACTCGGGATGAAGAAAAACTTACTCTCGGTCTCACAAGTAACTAGAGCAGGTCACTATGTGTTATATGGCCCTAATGATGTGAAGGTATACACAAATTTCAAAACTCTATCACAACCAATAGCATGTGGACATCGTGCATAATCCATTTATGTGATGTCTACTGAAACGATATATGTTGATAAGACGAAAAAGAACTAAAATGTGGATCTTTGGCATATGCGTTTGAGTCGTGTAAGCTATGACAAGATGGAGCTAATGATGAAGAAGAAGATGGTCAACAGATTACCACAACTTGAGGTGAATAAGAGTCTTGTTTGTGCTGGTTGTCAATACGGTAAAGCCCATCAATTGCCTTACGAAAAATCAAGTTTTCAGTCTAAAGTTCCATTTGAGTTGGTGCATTCATATGTGTTCGGTCCTGTAAACAACCATCTATTCAAGGTATGATGTATAGGATCGCCTTTATTGATGCTTTTTCAAGGCATGTTTGGGTATATTTTATGATGGAGAAGTCCGAAGCTTTTAGTAAATTCAAAGAATTCCAGAGTGAAGCTGAGAGAATAACTAGGAAGACCATTCGTTGTTTAAGGTCTGATAACGGAGGGGAATACCTTGCTACTGATTTTGCTGAGTATTTGCAGGAACACAACATTAGAAGACAACTAACATGTCCCAATACCCCACAATAAAATGGGGTCTCAGAAAAAAAAATAGGCATATAACTGAGATCTCAGGGAGCAAGATACATGAAAAAATGTCCCAAGGTTCTGGGCAGAGGCTATGAAGACAACTGCATATGTCATTAATTGATTTCCTCAACAAGGTTTAGAGTATGTGTCACCGGTTGAAAAGATCTTGAAGATGAAGCGATGTGTGAGTCATCTACGAGTTTTTGGATGTGTTTTCCATGCTTTTGTCCCAGGTCATCTCCGCCACAAGCTAGAAAAGAAAGTTGTTCGTTGCATCTGTTGGGTTATGAGCAAAACATCAATCCTATGGTGCACATGCAAACCCTAAAGCTTTAGATCTAGTTTTTCTATTTGTACATGCAATAATCAGCCAAAGCTCTCAAACCCTAATCTAGCATACAACAAAAATCGAAATCTACATCTAATGAAGAGTTAAGACATTACCTTTGATTGTAGCTTGAAGATCTTGAGCTTTTGAGAACCTAGCACCTCAAATGCGATGCCTCTAATGAATCACAAACACCAAAACAATTGGGTGATCTTGGAGAGCGAGGGAAAGGCTCACATTTGGCTCTATGATATCTAGGGTTAAAGTGGTAGCCGAATTTGTGAAGCCAAGGGTCCTTTATTTAGGTGATGAATTGGGGTTTCAGTCAAAGACGTCATCCGGTTGCTCAGGCTCTAAGCAGCCCACAAGAATCTTCCAGAACCTTAGCCCTTGGACGAAATCCTTATGGGCTCCCATAAGATTTCATCCAACCCCTTTCCAAACGGTTCCTCAGCCCATTATGCAATTATCTTATAACTACAACTTCGGTCCCTTTAATTCAATTAACCTCTTTTGACCACAAAATTAATTCTAAATTAAATCTTGACCAATGTTAATTAAATAATATGATTTCTCTTTTAATATATTATTCATATAATATATTAATAAACCATAATAACGTCTTTCTCCATTATTCATCCAGTCAAGTTGCTCTGGTCAAGGCAACCCAAAAGGACCATGCTACAACCGGGTCGAGTAAATACCAAATATAGTTATGGCTTAGACATCTAATCCAACAGTCTCCCACTTGGATAAGTCTAATAACTATAAATGCAAGTATGACTTTAAAATCCGATTAGCAATTGTAGCTCTCAAAAGCCGCTGTCGAACTCTGACACGTCCTTTAGATAAGGGATCGTATAGTCCTCCGTTCTGAAGATATCGTGTGGACAATCACTTGGAACATAGTCATACTTATTGTCCAGCAGCTTGTTTCTCGATCTCTGATGTGTATGACATCGAACTTAATTGAACACATCAATTTAGTCCTGACCGGGCCCGACACATAAGTCAAAACAAAATCATCGAGGGGCCCAAGATATCGCTTTTAGCCTCATAGGATAAAAGGAACAGATAAACTTCGACTTATATGCTTGTATTATTTACTAATCAAATCGTACACAACAATGCATTTTATAACATCAAGTTACTGATGCATTTACGTATTATCAATGCACAACCGACTTGTAAACAACAACTCATATATCTAGGTTTAAAGGCTATATGATATTATCATCTCACAAT